GCTTTAGAGGATTCCCTCTAACAAACGTGTAATTGTAGCTCATGATGAAACCTTTACAAATGGCTTGATCCAAAAGTTGTAGCTGTCAGTAGAGATGCTTTGGCAAATTGTGTACTCATATTTGTTTGACCGGTAATCTTCATTTTCATGCTTTGACGAGTGGTGTATTATTGACTACTAGTCATTGGAGTAATTTTGTTCCTATTTTAAGTTTTGTACCCCCAAATTTTTTGGAATATCTAGATGTAGTTTTTGGTGATGCCTTTGTACTAATATATCCATGTTGTAGGCTTGTGGATAAGATCCAAAATTCAATTGGTCAAGACCCAGACTCAAAATACTAATTGGGGTGTTGGATATATATGGATTTGAGAGTTTCAAGATAAATAGGTGAATCTGCTTCAAATGGTTGATGCTATTGAAATGCTAAATATCAACTTGTAATTCTTTTTTTCTGTTATTTTATGCTTTGTAGGAAATTTTGACCAGTGGAAATTCATCCAACAACTTTTTGTCAAATCATTTCCATCAAATTATTGTAGGTATTTTTGCTGATTAAGAAACAAATATGCAGAGATGGAAGATTCATTGAATTTGGTCCTTTCTTTCTTTTGTTAAATTTCTGTTACAGGTTGTTGTTAACACTTTTTGTATTTATCCAAAAGATGGTGAAGCACCACAAGTGGAGTGGATGATAGGACAAAGCTGGCTTATTTGCATAAGCCAAGAATTCTGCATAATTTCTCGCACTTCATTTGATTTTGGAAGCATCTGTTTCAACATTTTTCCTATTTAAATAAAACGTGTTGAAGCTAATAAACTCGATATTGTTTCCAAACTTGCACAAGAAATATATTTATGGTTGTAAATCCTTTCAGAAAATTGCCTCATTTATACGATAAGCATATGATGGCGCAGTACAAAGGGGCAGCCTTGGTTATCTGAGCCCCCAGCCAGACCCTTTTACTTTTGCGGATGCAGCATATTGGTATATGTTGTCACGATCATGAGTTTATAATTTCATTGTCTTCCTTTTGCATTACGATGAATAAGGTTGCTTCTGTGGATGCAGAGTTATGATCAATTAGGGAATTAGTTAGTCAATTTTGGTTAGTGGCGAGAGTGGAGCAGGTGAAACGGAAAGCACAACATTGCTCATGCGGTATCTTGCTTACTTGGGAGGTAGAGCTGCATCTGACGGTAGAACTGTCAAGCAGCAAGTCCTGGAGGTCAGCCTTGCATTTCAGCCTGTCCAGGGGGACTGATTCATTCTGAGGCCAGATTTTATGATCTTTCACCACATAATTTAGCTCTTTAATTGTGTACAATATGTGTTTTGGCCTTGTTTTCATTTTGTTTTGCAGTCAAATCCGATTCTAGAAGCATTTGGTAAAGCACATACAGTCCGAAACAACAACTCCAGGTGGGAACATTTTGCATTTACGGTGTAACTTCTGTATATGTCGCAAAGTTTCTCCAATACTGTCTGGTTGAATTGTTTCCTTCTACCTTTTCATGTTATGTATGTTGCTGTCATTTCGGTAAGCTTGTGGAGATTGAATTTGATTAGAGAGGAAAGAGTTCAGGAGCTGTTATCAGAATTTACCAATCGAAAAGGTCTCGTGTTTGTCAAGTGTTCGATCCTAAGAGGTACTATCATTGCTTCTACATGCTTTCCTCCGCACCACCAGAGGTAACTAGTCTTTAGTTAGTTGACCAAGATTTGCTTTATAGTAAAGAATAAATACAAGTTAGTTGACCAAGATTTGCTTTATAGTAAAGAATAAATACATACTTGTAGAGCATTTCATTTTTTATGGAGTTGTTTTTTTTTATCTTAACATAGAATTTTCATCCTTGGATATCACATGATACATGGAAAAGTGGTGCCCGAAAAAATATATGTAGCCAATCCCAGTGTTGAGCAACAGCTCACATGATACAACGACTCACATGATACAGCGGCTCAGATCATTTGAGGATAAAATAAAGGGTCATTCGACGGGCTACGTTAGTTCAACATAAAAAGTGGTTCAGATCATCTGAAAATTACTAATCTAATGAGTCAGAATGAGTCTAGAAATATTTTTTCCCATCTAACACTTTCCATTTTTTTATCCTTAGTTAGGCCTTCAATCACTCCCAAGGCTCCACCAAAATCTGCTCTATGTCTCCTCTTTATCTCCTTTCTTAACCGAGCTCTCTTACACTCAATTTTTATCTCGCATGTCTCTCTCAAATCATCTCCCTTTCTCCCCTAAATATGTTTTCCAAACCTAGACCTATTGTTGTGCCTTAAAATTCTCTCTCCCTTTCTCATGTTCACTTTCTCTATGCACCCATGATTGTCCCCTCTATCGCTATTTTCTCTCTAGCTTCTTTACTATTGCACCACTGCCCAATCCCAAGTAGTTAAGCCTTCAACAAGCAGTAATGCATCTCTTCTCTCGATTTACTTCTAGTGACAATTGCCCCTTATCTCCTCTTTCTCTATGTGCCACTGCACATCCACTGCTAGTGACAATGAGTAGCTATCCAGCCACTACCTATTTCAGGTGTCCTCCTTAATCATCTCCTCTTTCTCTCTCTCATGTATTTCCTCTCCATCCATCTCTCTATCTATGCGCTTATGTTCATCTTCCTGTAGCTCTATTTTCTCTCTACCTTCTTCCCTATTGCGCCGCTACCCAATCCCAAGTAGTGACGAATTTCTTCTCTAGGTTCACCGCTATCGGCAATTGCCCCTTATTCTTCTCTCTCTCTGCGCCGTTGCATATCCACTGCCAATGACAGCTTGTAGCTGCCTAGCCATCACCTATTTCAGGTATCCTTCTCAATCATCTCCTCCCTCTCTCACACATCTCTCTATCCATCTCTCCTCTCTTTATACGCTTATGATCATCTACCCCTGACCCTATTTTCTCTCTACCTTCTTCCCTATTGTGCCAATGCCCAATGCCCAACAGTGACTCATTTGTTTTCTCAGTTCACCGCCAACGACAACCGTCCCTTATCCCTTCTCCCTCTATGCCGTTGCACATTCATTGCCAACGACAACCAGTAGATGCTTAGCCACCGCCTATTTCAAGAATCCTTCTCAATTGTCTCCTCTCTCTCTCATGCATCTCCTTTCTCTTTGTCACACATCTTCTCTCCCTTAATCATCTACTTCTCACTCCTTCTCCACAACCATAACCCTACTCGATAGACCCTTTTTGTTCTTCCCAACTCCTGTGTACCACCTGTTCGATAAATTGTCAAACCTATACTTTTTTTTGTTTCAAAAACTTGCGTCAGCCCTTTGCTTATGGACGGTGGGGTCATTTTTTATGCTTTTTAATCTCTTATTCTTTGATAAAATGCACCAAGTGGACATTTGTGTTAGTTGATCTTAAGATTGATTTATCCAATTTAGTTATTTTCGGATTTAGAATTAACTTTGGTCCAAGTTGTGTTTGCGTAATCTGGTATTGTTGACTTCATTTATGGTCATCGAAACTAAGTTCTTCATGTATGCTTTAAATTGATTTTATTATTTTGTTTTTATTGTTGACTTCATCTATGCACTATGGATATCTTTGCTTCTTCAACATAGATATCCTTGGCTAACATACATTTATATGAGATCCTAGCCTCCATCACAACAATGCTAATTGTTTTTGTGCTGCTTTGTGGTCCTTTGTCATTCTCGTGTGCCTTTTTCAGGTGCTACTGTGAACTCAATCTCTATATTATATTCTCTTTATTGATTGTTTTGATATTTGTGAAATCAATCATTAATGTATTTGACGGATTGTTGGGCTTGATATAATACCTACCTTTAATGTGTAACTAAATCCATAGTGCTACTGCAACTGCTTTTATATAACGTTAACATAGTGCTAATGCTTTTATATAATGTTACATTCTGATTTTATAGTGTTAACATAGTGCTACTGCATCTATTATATTGGATCCGACCTTCAGTATGTGACATAGTATGCTTTTATTGTGGATTGCTTCGCAATGGCTTTTCGTTTCTTCTCAACATTTTGGACCATGACCAGTTAATATCTTACGTTTTTTCTACAATCTATGATATTGTAGAGGATTCCCTCTACAAATGTGTAATTGTAACTCATGATGAAACCATTACTAAATGGCTTGATCCAGAAGTTGTAGTTGTTAGTAGAGATGCTTTGGCAAATTGTGTACTCATGTTTGTTTAACTGGTAACCTTCATTTTCATGCTTTGACGAGTTGTGTATTACTGACTGCTCGTCATTGGAGTAATTTCGTTCCTATTTTAAGTTTTGTACCCCCAAATTTTTTGGAATATCTGGATGTAGTTTTTGTTGATGCCTTTGTACTGATGTATCCATGCTGTAGACTTGTGGATAAGATCCATAGTTCAATTGGTCAAGACCCAAACTCAAAATACTTAATTGGGGTGTTGGATATATATGGATTTGAGAATTTCAAGATAAATAGGTGAATTTACTTCAAATGGTTGCTGTTATTGAAATGCTGAATATCAACTTTTAATTCATTTTTTCTGTTATTTTATGCTTTGTAGAAAATTTTAACAAGTGGAAATTCGTCCGACAACATTTTGTCAAATCATTTCCATCAAATTATTCCAGATATTTTTGTTGGTTAAGAAACAAATATGCAGAGATGGAAGATTTACTGAATTTGGTCTTTTCTTTCTTTTGTTAAATTTCTGTTATTGGTGGTTCCGTGGTTGTTAACACTTTTTTGTATTTATCCAAAAGATGGTGAAGCACCTCCAAGTGGAGTGGATGATAGGACAAAGCTGGCTTATTTACATAAGCCTGGAGTTTTGCATAATTTAAATTCGAGGTATGATGTCAATGAAATATATGTAAGTGTTTCAACATTTTCCTATTTAAATAAAACATGTTAAAGCTAATCAACTCGATATTATTTCCAGACTTGCACAAGAAATATATTAATTGTTGTGAATCCTTTTAGAAAATTGCCTTGTTTATACGATAGTCATGATGACACAGTACAAAGGGGCAGCCTTTGGTGAACTGAGTCCCCAGTCCCACCCTTTTGTTTTTGTAGATGCTGCATATAGGTATGTTGTCACGATCACGAGTTTATAATTTCGTTGTCTTCCCTTTGCGTTACGATGATTAAGGCCACTTATGTGGATGCAGAGTTATGATCAATTAGGGAATCAGTTAGTCAATTTTGGTTAGTGGCGAGAGTGGGGCAGGTGAAACGGAAAGCACAAAATTGCTCATGCGGTATCTTGCTTACTTGGGAGGCAGAGTTGCATCTGAGGGGAGGACTGTCAAGCAGTAAGTCTTGGAGGTCAGCCTTGCATTTCACCAAGCTTAGATGAGGGATTGTCCAACAAGCTTAGACAAGGGACTGATTCATTTTGAGGCCATATTTTAGATCGTTCACTACATAATTTAGTTCTTTAATTGTGTACAATATGTGTTTTGGCCTTGTTTTACTTTGTTTTGCAGTCAAATCCGGTTCTAGAAGCATTCGGTAATGCAAATACAGTCAGAAACAATGTAAATGCAGTCAGAAACAACTCCAGTGGTAACATTTTGCATTTACAGTGTAACTTCTGTATATGTCTCAAAGTTTCTCTAATATTGTCTGGTTGAATAGTTTCCTTCTATCTCTTCATGTTATGTACGTTGCAGTCATTTCGGTAAACTTGTGGAGATTGAATTTGATTGGAGAGGAAGGAGTTTAGGAGCTATTATCAGAACTTACCCGCTGAAGAGGTCTCGTGTTTGTCAAGTGCCTGATCCTAAAAGGTACTATCATTGTTTCTACATGCTTTGCTCCGCACCACCTGAGGTACCAAGTCTCTATTTAGTTAACCAAGATTTGCTTTATAGTAAAGAATAAATATGTGCTTGTAGAGCATTTCATTTTTTATGGAGTTGTTTTTTTATCTTAACATTGAATTTTCATCCTTGGATATCACATGATACGTGACAAAGTGGTGCCCAAAAAAATATATGTAGCCAAACCAAGTGTTGTGCAGCAAATGCTTTCCGTTACTACTAATTTATATAATAAAGTAGAGCTATTTTTGAATCAAAAGACAAAAAGGACTCAATTCGTTTCAAGATAAAATAATGGGTCATTCGATGGGCTACGTTACCCCAGCATAAGAAGTGGTTCAGATCATCTCAAAATTACTAATTCAATGAGCAAGAATGAGTCTATAAAAATTTGTTCCGCCTAAAACTTTCCATTTTGTTACCCTTCATTAGGCCTTCAATCACTTCCCAAGGCTTCACCAAAATCTGCGCTGTGTCTACCCTTTATCTCCTTTCTTAATCGAGTTTTCTTACACTTAATTTCTATCTCGCATGTCTCTCTCAAATGATCTCCCCCTCTCCCCTAAATATGTTTTCCAAACTAAGACCTATGGTTGTGTGCTAAAATTCTATCTCCCTCTCTCACGTTCACTTTATCTATGCGCCTATGATCATCTCCCCCTATCTCTATTTTCTTTCTACCTTCTTCATTATTGCGCCACTGTCCAATCCCCAGCAATTAAGCCTTCAACAACAAGCTGTGACGTAACTCTTCACTCAGCTCACCGCCAGTGACGACCACCCTTTATCCCCTCTCTTCTCTCGCTGCACATACATTGCCAACAATAGCCAGCAGTTACCTAGCCACTGCCTATTTTGGGTATCCTTCTTAATCATCTCCTCTTTCTCTCTTTCTCATGCATCTCCTCTCCTACCATATCTCTATGCGCTCATGTTCATCTCCCCTTACCTCTATTTTCTTTCTCCCTTCTTCTCTATTGTGCCACTGCCCAATCACCAGTAGTGACACATCTTTTCTCTCGGTTCACCACCCGTGACAACCGCCTCTTATTCTTCTCTCTTTGTGCCGCTGCATATCCATTGCCAACGACAACCTGCAGCTACTGAGCCACTACCTATTTTAGGTATCGTTCTCAATTATCTCTTCTTTCTCTCACGCACCTCTTCTCTGTCCATCTCTCTCTATGCGCTTATGATCATCTCCCTTAACTCTATTTTCTCTTTACCTTTTTCCCAACTATGCTGCTGCCCAATCCCTAGAAGTGACACATCCCTTCTTTTGGTTCACTGCCGGGGATAACTACTCCTCATCTCCTCTCTCTCTGTGCCGCTGCGCACATCCATTGCCAATGATAGCGAGTAGCTACTCATCCACCGCCTATTTCGGGTATCCTTCTCAATCATTTCTCTCTCTCACGCATCTTCTCTCCATCCATCTCTCTCTCTATGCGCTTATGATCATCTCCCGAACTCTATTTTCTCTCTACCTTCTTCCTTATTGTGTTGCTGTCCAATCCCCAGAAGTGATGCATCTCTTCTCTCGGTTCACCGCGAGTGACAACTGCCCCTTGTCTCCTCTCTCTCTATGCCGCTGCACATCCATTGCTGACAACAACGAGCAGCTACCCAGCCACCTCCTGTTTCGGGTATCCTTTTAATCATCTCCTCTTTCTCTCTCTTATGCATCTTCTCTTTCTCTCATGCATTTCCTCTTCGTCCATCTCTTTCTCTCTATGTGCTCATGTACATCTCCCCCTACCACTATTTTCTCTCTACCTTCTCTATTGCGCCGTTGCCCAATCCCCGGTAATGACAAATCTTTTCTTTCAGCTCACCGCCAGCGACAAACGTCCCTTATTCTTCTCTCTCTGCACCACTGCATATCCATTGCCAATGACAGTCAGGAGCTGCCCAGCTACTGCCTATTTCAAAGTTCCTTTAGCCCTTTGCTTGTGGATAGTGGGCTCATTTTTTTTTGCTTTTTAATCTCTTTTGCTTGATAAAATGCACCAAATGGATATTTGTGTTAGCTGATGTTAAGATTGGTTTATCCGATTTAGTTATTTTAGGATTTAGAATTGACTCAGGTTCAAGTTGTGTTTGCGAAATCCGGTATAGTTGACTTCATTTATGGTCATCGAAACTAAGTTTATGTATGCTTTTAATTGTTTTTATTTTTTTTGTTTTTTTTGTTGACTTCATCTATGCACCATGGATATCTTTGCTTCTTCAACATGGATATCCTTTTCTAACATACATTTATATGTGACTCTAGCCTCCATCGCTACAATGCTAACTGTTTCTGTGCAGCTTTGTGGTCCTTTTTCCTTCCCATGTACCTTTGTCAGGTGCTACTGTGAACTCAATCTCTAAATTATATTCTCTTTGTTGATTGTTTTGACATTAGTAAACTCAATCATTAATGTATTTGTCGGACTGTTGGGCTTGATATCATACTTACCTTTATTGTGTAACTTTTATATTATGTTTACATAGTGCTACTGCATCTTTTATATGGATCCAACCTTCAATATGTAACATAGTATGCTTTTATTATGGATTGTTTCGCAGTGGCTTTTCGTTTCTTCCCAAACATTTTGGACCGTGACCAGTTAAGATGTTACGCTTTTTTCTACAATCTATTATATTGTGCAGCGCATATGTAAAATGGGTTATGATATGGATACATCTTTTGAGGATTTAATTTAATTTGTTTATTAGTGTGTAGGTTGTGGTAATTCTGGAGCCGGGTGGTGTTGCCATTGGTGGTTTTCTACCACTTGTATCCATTTATTGGAGTAAAAACATTAGAGTTGAGGATGAGTTATACGGGAATTTTTTGAGTTTTCCTGTCGTCCCTCAAAAAAACATTTTTAGCTTTTGAAATGCAGAGGTACTGATCAAATTGCACAGGTATCTTTTGAACTGCTTTATTCCACATATATGAGTTTGTTCCAATATGTGCATTTATCTATAGCCCGGATTCTAGGGTAAGAAAAGTAGGAAAAAAAGCATAGTTCTTTTCATTATGTCGAACTTTTGGTTAGCTGTGAGTATTGTATTGAACTTACGGACATGTGATTTTTTTTTCTTAAGTTATTGAAAAAATTAGTTGTACAAAGCATTTCAAGAAATTTTTGTAGGAGAGATGTAGTTTTTGGAAAGTAGAGAATTCGTGACTTTTGGAGCTTATTTGACACCATGTGGGTTCTCCCTTTTTTTTTATAGAAGGGTATGGCTATGATCATGACATGACAATTGAGAGGAGGCCTTCTGCCTTCATCATGCTTCGGGATCAAGTGGGGACCACAATGAGCGGCATGTTTTATTGTGTATGTTTTTTGATTGAATCAAGTTTGGAATATTTGAGATACCTTTAAATACATTAAAACTATGTTTATAATACATTGTTATACTATATTGCTCATCTTTGTTTGACCATACTTTTAGCTAGAATGTTTCACATTTTTTTTGGATATGTTTTGTGAAATCAGTTGACTAATAATTGCTAATATTTTGCAGAATATCAACTAGGTTGTAATTAAATTGAGACACATTTTAATTTTGGAGGAGTTTATTGTATATTTAGTTTATTTCATGGATTTTTTTATACATTTTTGTTTATTAGTCTATTTAACGGTGGTTATTTTTTGTTCAATTTCTTAAGAAAACACCATCGATTCCTCTAAAATTAAGTTCCTTGCAGTAATTATTCCATCATTCAAGTTAACTTGTTAGTTGGGTTCCAAAGGTGTGGTAGGCTTACATGTGTGCAAGTGGGAATTGAAGTTCAATTTTGATCATTTTGTTGGGAGATCATTTCAATTTCAGTCAAATCTTATATTATTTTTTCATGCTACCAGGATCTTCAAAAGTACAAATTAGCAAATCCAATAACATTTCATGATTTGAATCAATTAAATTGCTACGAATTAGATGGCATTGATGATTCTAAAGAGTCCGTTGCTACAAGGTGGGCAATGGATGTTGTTGGAATTAGTACCAAGGAACAGGTTTTGATTGGAGTTGGTTAATATGGGAAACATGATTCTTCCACTTTATATCTATCCATTAATGCCTTCTTATTGATTTTCTTCCTTCCTCAAGATGTGTTTTTTCGAGTTGTGGCTGCGATTCTCCATCTTGGAAATATCAAATTTGTGAAGGAAAAGACAATCGACTCGTGTGTGGCCAAATGAAAAATCTTTGTTTCATCTTAGAACTGTTGTGGAGCTGTTCGTGTAAATAATCAATTTCATTGGCACTGGGCCACAAGCACACACAAATGAAGTAAATAAATTTTCAAATATCTTGACTTAATTTTCACTACGGGAGAACAAAATGCAATTTCAACCAAGTGCAACCTTTGAATTGTTTGGTATTGTTCAGGTGTGACATAAAGTCTTTAGGGGATTCCCTCTTCAAATGTATAATTGTAACTCATGATGAAACCATTACCAAATGGCTTGATCCAGAAGCTGCAGTTGCCGGTAGAGATGCTTTGGCAAATTGTGTACTCATGTTTGCTTGATTGGTAACCATTACTTGTCATTGGAGTAATTTATTCCTATTTTAAGTTTTGTACCCCAAAATTTTTTGGAATATCTAGATGTAGTTTTTGCTAATGCCTTTGTATTGATAGATCGATGTTGTAGGCTTGTGGATAAGATCCATAGTTCAATTGGTCAAGACCCAGACTCAAAATACTTAATTAGGGTGCTGGATATAGATAGATAAATTCGTGAATCTACTTCAAATGATTGCTGCTATTGAAATGCTGAATATCAACTTTTAATTCATTTTTTCTGTTATTTTATGCTTTGTAGGGAATTTTACCTAGTGGAAATTCGTCCAACAACTTTTTTTCAAATCATTTCCATCAAATTATTCTAGGTATTTTTGTTGGTTAAGAAACAAATATGCAGAGATGAAAGATTCACTGAATTTGATCATTTCTTTCTTTTGTTAAATTTCTGTTACAGGTTGTTGTTAACACTTTTTGTATTTATCCAAAAGATGGTGAAGCACCACCAAGTGGAGTGGATGATAGGACAAAGCTGGCTTATTTTCTTAAGCTAGGAGTTCTGCATAATTTAAATTCGAGATATGATGTCAATGAAATATATGTAAGTATTTTCCACACTTCATTTGATTTTGAAAGCATCTGTTTCAACATTTTCCTATTTAAATAAAATGTGTTGGAGCTAATCAACTTGATATTGTTTCCAGACTTACACAAGAAACATTGTTGTGAATCCTTTCAGAAAATTGCCTGATTTATATGATAGGCATATGATGGCGCAGTACAAAGCAGCAGCCTTTGGTGAACTAAGCCCCTTGTCCCACCCTTTTGCTTTTGCGGATGTAGCATATAGGTATGTTGTCACAATCATGAGTTTATAATTTCATTGTCTTCCCTTTGCATTACGATGATCAATGCCACTTCTGTGGATGCAGTGTTATGATCAATTAGGGAATCAGTTAGTCAATTTTGCTTAGTGGCGAGAGTGAAGCGGGTGAAACGGAAAGCACAAAATTGCTCATGCAGTATCTTGCTTACTTGGGAGGCAGAGCTGCATCTGAGGGGAGGACTGTCGAGCAGCAAGTCCTGGAGGTAAGCCTTGCATTTCAGCATGTCCAACAAGCTTAGACGAGGGACTGATTCATTCTGAGGCCAGATTTTAGATCTTTCACCACATAATTTAGTTCTTTAATTGTGTACAATATGTGTTTTGGCCTTATTTTCATTTATTTTGCAGTCAAATCCGGTTCTAGAAGCATTCAGTAATGCAAATACAGTCAGAAACAACTCCTGGTGGGAACATTTGCATTTACGGTGTAACTTCTGTATATGTTTCAAAGTTTCTCTAATACTATTTGGTTAAATTGTTTCCTTCTATCTCTTCATGTTATGTACGTTGCAGTCATTTCAGTAAGCTTGTGGAGATTGAATTTGACCGAAGAGGAAGGAGTTCAGGAGCTGTTATCAGAACTTATCAGCCGGAAAGGTCTCGTGTTTGTCAAGTGTCCGATCCTAAGAGGTACTATAATTGCTTTGGCATGCTTTGCTCCTCACCACCTGAGGTAACAAGTCTCTATTTAGTTGACCAAGATTTGCTTTATAGTAAAGAATAAATACTTGTTTGTAGCGCATTTCATTTTTTAGGAAGTTGTTTTTTTATCTTAACATAGAATTTTCATCACTGGATATCACATGATACATAGCAAAGTGGTGCCCCAAAAATATATGTAGCCAACCCCAGTGTTGAGCAGTAAATGCTTTTCGTTACTACTAATCTATATAATAAAATAGAGCTGATTTTGAATCAAAATACGAAAAATGGAGCAGATCGTTTCAAGATAAAATAAAGGGTCATTTGACGGGCTATTGACTGGCTACGTTACCCCAACATAAAAAGTGGTTTAGATCATATCAAAATTACTAATCTAATGAGCCAGAATGAGTCTAGAAATATTTTTTCCCATCTAAACTTTCCATTTTGTCACCGAGGCTCCACCAAAATCTATTATGTGTCTTCCCTTTATCTCCTTTCTTAATCGAGCTTTCTTACACTCAATTTTTATCTCGCATGTCTCTCTCAAATCATCTCCCTCTCTTCCCTAAATATGTTCTCCAAACTATGACCTATGGTTGTGCCCTAAAATTCTCTCTCCATTTCTCACGTTCACTTTCTCTATGCGCCCACAATCATCTCCCCCTATCGCTATTTCTCTCTAACTTCTTCACTATTGCGCTATTGCCCAATCCCCAGTAGTTAAGCCTTCAATAACAAGCAGTGACGAATCTTTTCTCTTAGTTTACCTCTAGTGATAACCGCTCCTTATCTCCTCTCTCTCTGTGCCGCTGCATATCCGCTGCCAATGTAAGCGAGCAGCTACCTAGCCACTACCTATTCCGGGTGTCTTTCTCAATCATCTCCTCTTTCTCTTTCTCTCTTTCTCATGTATCTCCTCTTCGTTCATCTCTCTCTATCTATGCGCTCATGCTCATCTCCCCATAGCTCTATTTTCTCACTACCTTCTTCCCTATTGCGCAGCTCTCCGATCCCCAGTAGTGATGCATCTCTTCTCTCGGTTCACTGTCAGCGACAACCGCCCCTTATTCTTCTTTCTCTACACTGCTTCATATCCACTGCCAATGGCAGCTTGTAGCTGCCTAGCCACTTCCTATTTCAGGTATCCTTCTCAATCATCTCCTCTCTCTCACGCATCTTGTCTTTGTCCATCTCTCCCTCTCTTTATGCGCTTATGATCATCTCCCCTAACTCTATTTCCTCTCTACCTTCTTCCTATTGTGCTACTGCCCAATGCCCAGTACTGACGCGTCTGTTCTCTCAGTTCACCGCCAGTGACAACCGCCCATTATCCCTCTCTTTCTGTGCCGTTGCACATTCATTGCCAACGACAGCCAGTAGCTGCCCAGCCACAGGCTATTTCAGGTATCCTTCTCAATCATCTCTCATTTCTCTCTCACGCATCTCCTTTCTTTTGTCACGCATCTCTTTTCCCTCAATCATCTCATTTTCTCACTCTCTCTCCACAATCATAACCCCACTCAACAGCCCATTCCTGTTCTTCCTAGGTCATGTGTACCACCTGTTCGATAAATTTTCAAACCGATATTTTTTTTTGTTTCAAAAAGTTCCTTCGGCCCTTTGCTTATGGACGATGGGCTCATTTTTTATGCTTTTTAATATCTTTTGCATGATAAAATGAATCAAGTGGATATTTGTGTTGGCTGATCTTAAGATTAGTTTATCCGATTTAGTTAATTTAGATTTAGAATTGACTTGGGTCCAAGTTGTGTTTGCAAAATCCGGTATTGTTGACTTCATTATGGTCATCGAAACTAAGTTCTTCATGTATGCTTTAAATTGATTTTATTGTTTTGTTTTTATTGTTGACTTCATCTATGCACCATGGATATCTTTGTTTCTTCAACATGGATATCCTTTTCTAACATACATTTATATGTGATTCTAGCCTTCATTGCAACAATGCTAACTGTTTCTGTGCAGCTTTGTGGTCCTTTGTCCTCGTGTACCTTTTTCAGGTGCTACTGTGAACTCAATCTCTCTATATTATATTCTCTTTATTGATTGTTTTGATATTTGTGAACTCCATCATTAATGTATTTGACAGACTGTTGGGCTTGATATAATACCTACCTTTAACGTGTAACTAAATCCATAGTGCTATTGTGACTGCTTTTATATAATGTTAACATAGTGCTACTGATTTTATATGATGTTAACAAAGTGCTACTGCTTTTATATAATGTTACATACTGATTTTATAGTGTTAAGATAGTGCTACTTCGTCTATTATATTGGATCCGACCTTCAGATCACTTGAACAAAACCTTCAGCTACTTCATCAATTTGTGAGGAGCATTGTGGGTCCTAATGTTTGTGAGAATGTAACAGACATTTTCCAGAACAGATGCCCAGAACAATTGAACAAAACCTGGATTGCTCTTATCCCCAAGATTGAGAGTCCAATGTTAATTTCTCAGTTTAGACCCATTAGTCTGTGCAATGTCAGCTACAAGATTGTGACTAAACTTTTAGTAACCAGGCTGAGACCCAAGCTGGATAAGCCGGTTGGTCCTTATTAAAGCAGCTTTATCCCAGGTAGCAGATGATTGACAACATAATCATTACACAGGAAATTGCACATTGTTTAAGAAAGAAGAAGGGTAAAGTGGGAAGCCTGATTCTTAAAATTGATCTTCAAAAAGTTTATGATAGAGTCATTTGGTCTTTTCTACAACGAACCCTTACTCATTTCAACTTTCCTAGGAGCTGGATTGATCTCATTATGAACTGTGTAACAAAGACTGAGCTGTCTATTTTATGGAATGGCTCCTCCTTAGAGCCAATTGTTCCCAAAAGAGGTCTTCGACAAGGGGACCCTCTTTCCCCTTATTTGTTTGTTCTTTGCATGGAAAGGCTAAGTCACCTCTTTCCCCTATTTGTTTGTTTTGCATGGAAAGGCTAAGTTTGTTCTTTGCATGGAAAGGCTAAGTCATATGATTAATGAACAAGTGTAGCTGAAGAACTGGAAGGGACTTAAAGCAGCAAGATGAGGTCCTGTGATATCACACCTTCTCTTTGCTGATGACATTATTCTATTTTCAAGAGCCCAGGACAAAGATTGTCATATGATAAGGAAAGTTCTTGATGAGTTTTTTAGGATATCTGGGCTTAAATGAGCATCTAAAGTCTATGTTTCCTCAAATGTAAGAAGAGGAAGAGCATCTAAAGTTGGTAGGATCCTTGGGTTCCCTTTAATTGGGGATCTAGGTAAGTACCTAGGAATAACAGTTTTACTTGAAAAAATTCAGATAAGGTTTTCTGGATGGAAAGCTAACAACTTGACCATAGCAGGAAGGGCAACCCTGATTCAGGCTGTCACTGCTACTATCCCTAACTATGCTATGCAAACTCAATGGGTTCCCCAGTCCATCTGTGATCAAATTGATAGACTGAATAGAAATTTTCTATGGGGGGACACAGAAGAGAGGAGGAAAATTTACTTGTTAAACTGGGACAAAGTGTGTTCACCCAAGGTTAAGGACGAACAGAGATAATAATGCAGCACTCCTAGGGAAACTAGGTTGGGAACTTAGAGCTAATAATAATAAATCCTTATGGGTTGAGATTATGAAAAGTAAATACATTGCTATGAACACTGAACCTTGGAAAAAAAAGAACAATGCATCTCCCATATGGAATGCTATTTTGAAAATTTGTAACCCGTTATAAGCAGGTATAAAATGGATTGTGGGTGATGGACAAAACATTAACTTCTGGAAAGATTGGTGGGTTGGTGGAAAACCACTTCTCCAGCAACTGAATCCCCAAACGAATATTGATACAGAGGTTAAGGTGACTAACTTCATTGGCACAGATGGATCCTGGAATCTGCAATCCACAGGTATGATTCTTCTCCTAATATTGTTCAAGAGATTTTATTCACTCCACTGCCACAATTCAGCCAGCAACTTGATTCTATATCCTTGGATAAGGCAGCCAATGGTAAGTTTTCATCCAAAAACTGTTATAATCTCCTTACTGATGACACTTCTTTCACTGTCATTGATAAGAGATGGAAACAGATTTGGGAAATGGAAATTCCTCAGGAGTTAAAGTTTTTTCTTTGGCTTGTCCTCCATGATAGAATCCCCTCAAATAAACTTAGAGCCGACAGAGGTATGACAGATGATCTTATATGCAATAGGTGTAATAACTTTGTTGAGACAACCATTCACATTTTAAGAGATTGTAGTAAGGCCCAAAGAGTCTGGAGCTATTTTCCTACATCACAGGAAAGACAGACTGATAGAAACCTGAGTCTTTCACAATGGTTTGAAAAATATTGCCTAACTACTAATGGGACCACTTGGAACAATATCATTTTGAAACAAAATTGCTCATGCAGTATCTTGCTTACTTGGGAGGCAGAGCTGAATCTGAGGGGAGGACTGTCGAGCAGCAAGTCCTGGAGGTAAGCCTTGCATTTCAGCCTGTCCAACAATCTTAGACGAGGGACTGATTCATTCTGAGGCCAAATTTTAGATTTTTCACCACATAATTTAGTTCTTTAATTGTGTACAATATGTGTTTTGGCCTTATTTTCATTTGTTTTGCAGTCAAATCTGGTTCTAGAAGCATTCAGTAATGCAAATATAGTCAGAAACAACAACTCCTTGTGGGAACATTTTGCATTTACGGTGTAACTTCTGTATATGTGGCAAAGTTTCTCTAATACTGTTTGGTTGAATTGTTTCGTTCTATCTGTTCATGTTATGTACGTTACAGTCATTTCGGTAAGCTTGTGGAGACTGGAGATTGAATTTGACCGGAGAGGAAGGAGTGCAAGAGCTGTTATCGAAACTTACCAGCCGGAAAGGTCTCATGTTTGTCAAGTGTCCGATCCTAAGAGGTACTATTATTGCTTCGGCATGCTTTGCTCTGCACCACCTGAGGTAACAAGTCTCTATTTAGTTGACCAAGATTTGCTTTATAGTAAAGAATAAATACTTGTTTGTAGCGCATTTCATTTTTTGTGGAGTTGTTTATTTATCTTAACATAGAATTTTCATCCTTGGATATCACATGATACAAGGCAAAGTGGTGCCCCAAAAAATATATGTAGCCAACCCCAGTGTTGAGCAGCAAATGCTTTTCGTTACTACTAATCTATATAATAAAATAGAGCTGGTTTTGAATCGAAAGACAAAAAACGGAGCAGATCGTTTCAAGATAAAATAAAGGATCATTTGACGGGCTACGTTACCCCAACATAAAATATAGGTTAGATCATTTCAAAATTACTAATCTAATGAGCCAAAATGAGTCTAGAAATATTTTTTTCCGTTAAACTTTTCATTTGTCACCCTTAGTCAGGCCTTCAATCACTCCCCAAGGCTCTACTAAAATCTATTCCTTGTCTCCCCTTTTATCTCCTTTCTTAATCGAGCTTTCTTACACTCAATTTCTATCGCGCATGTCTCTCTCAGATCGTCTCTCTCAAATCATCTCCCTCTCTTTCCTAAATATACTCTCCAAACTATGACCTATGGTTGTGCCCTAAAATTCTCTTTCACTTTCTCTATGCGCCCACAATCATCTCCCCCTATTGTTATTTTCTCTCTACCTTCTTCACTATTGCATCACTGCCCAATCCCCAATAGTTAAGCCTTCAACAACAAGCAGTGACACATCTCTTCTCTCAATTTACCTCTAGTGATAACCGCTCCTTATCTCCTCTCTCTTTGTGCCGCTGCACATCCACTGCCAATGAAAGCGAGCAACTACCTAGCCACTGCCTATTTCGGGTGTCTTTCTCAATCATCTCCTATTTCTCTCTCTTTCTCATGCATCTCCTCTCTGTTCATCTCTTTATCTATGCACTCATGCTCATCTCTCCATATCTATATTTTCTCTCTACCTTCTTCCCTATTGAGTCGTTGCCCAATCCTTAGTAGTGACGCATCTCTTCTCTCGGTTCATTGCCAGCGACAACTGCCCCTTATTCTTCTCTCTCTGCACCGCTGCATATCCACTGCTAATGACAACCAATAGCTGCCTATTTCAAGTAGCCTTCTCAATCATCTCCTCTCTCTCTCACGCATCTTCTCTCTGTCCATCTCTCCCTCTCTCTATGAGCTTATGATCATCTCCTCCTAATTCTATTTCCTCTCTACCTTCTTCCCTATTTTGCCATTGCCTAATGCCCATCTGTGACGCATCTGTTCTCACAGTTCACCGCCAATGACAACCGCCCTTATCCCTGTCTCTCTCTCTCTGTGTCGTTGCCCATTCATTGCCAACGACAGCCAGCCACAACCTTTTTGAGGTACCCTTCTCAATCATCTCCCCATTCTCTCTCACGCATCTCCTTTCTCTTTGTCACGCACCTCATCTCCCTCAATCATCTCTTTTTCTCATTCTCTCTCCACAATCATAACCTCACTCGACAGCCCCTTCCTGTTCTTCCTAGGTCCTGTGTACCATCTGTTCGATAAGTTGTTAAACCGATACTTTTTTTGTTTCAAAAAGTTCCTTTAGCCCTTTGCTTATGGACAGTGGGCTCATTTTTTAATGCTTTTTAATATCTTTTGCATGATAAATGAATCAAGTGGATATTTGTGTTGGTTGATCTTAAGATTGGTTTATCCGATTTAGTTATTTTTGGAGTTAGAATTGACTCAGGTTCAAGTTGTGTTTGCAAAATCCGGTATTGTTAACTTCATTTATGGTCATCGAAACTAAGTTCTTCGTATATGCTTTAAATTGATTTTATTGTTTTGTTTTTATTGTTGACTTCATCTATGCACCATGGATATCGTTGTTTCTTCAACATGGATATCCTTTTCTAACATACATGTATATGTGATTCTAGCCTCCATCGCAACAATGCTAACTGTTTCTGTGTAGCTTTGTGGTCCTTTGTCCTTCTTGTGTACCTTTTTCAGGTGCTACTGTGAACTCAATCTCTCTATATTATATTCTCTTTATTGGTTGTTTTGATATTTGTGAACTCGATCATTAATGTATTTGACGGACTGTTGGGCTTGATATAATACCTACCTTTAACGTGTAACTAAATCCATAGTGCTATTGCGACTGCTTTTATATAATGTTAACATAGTGCTACTGATTTTATGTAATGTTAACATAGTGCTACTGCTTTAATATAATGTTACATACTGATTTTATAGTGCTAACATAGTGCTACTTCATCTATTTTATTGGATTCAACCTTCAATATGTAACTTAGTATGCTTTTATTGTGAATTGTTTCACAGTGACTTTTCATTTCTTCCCAACATTTTGGACCATGACCAGTTAAGATCACAATCTATGATATGGTGGCGGTGCATAACTAAAATGGGTTATGATATGGATACATCTTTTTGAGTATTTAAATTAATTTGTTTATCAGTGTGTAGGTTGTACTAATTCTAGGGTTGAGTGGTGCTGCCATTGGTGATTTTCTACCACCTATAGCCATGTATTGGAGTAAAACAGTGGAGTTGAGGATGAGCTATGGGAGGATTCTTTGAGTCTTCCTGTATTCACTCAAAGAAACATTGCTAGCTCTTGAAACGCTGAGGTACTGATGAAATTGCACAGGTATCTCTTGAACTGTTTTACTCCACATGTACGAGTCTATTCCATTATGTGCATTTATCTATAGCCTGGATTCTAGGGTAAGAAAAGTAGGAAAAAAAGGGATAGCTGTGAGTATTGCATTGAACTTACTGACATGTGATTTTTCTCAAGTTATTGAAAAAATTATATAGTTATACTAGAAATTTTCGCAAGAGAGATGTAGTTTTTATTTATTTTTTTATAGAAGTGTATTGTTGTGATCTTGACCCAACAATTAAGAGGAGGCCTTCTGCCTTCATGCTTCGGGACTGAGAGGGGACCACAGTGAGCGGCATTTTTTGTTGTGTATGTTTTTTGATTGAATCAAGTTTGGAATATTTGAGATACCTTAAAAACGTCAAAAACTATGTTTATAATACGTTGTTCTGCTATATTGCTCATCTTTGTTTGGCCATATTTGTTAGCTAGAATGTTTCACATATTTTTTTGGATATGTTTGGTGAAATCAGTTGACTAATAATTGTTAATATTTTGTGGACTATCGATCTAGGTTATAATTAAGTTGAGACACTGTTTAATTTTAGAGGACTTTATTGTAAATTTAGTTTATTTCGTAGATTTTTTATATATTTTTGTTTATTAGTCAATTTAACAGTGATTATTTTATGTTCAATTTCTAAAGAAAACGCCATAGATTCCTCTAAAATTAAGTTTCTTGCAGTAAAGTGATTACTCCATCAATCAAGTTCAATTTGTTGGTTTGGTTCCAAAGGTGTGGTAGGCTTACATGTGTGGAAGTGGGAATTGAAGTTCAATTTTGATCATTGCGTTGGGATATCATTTCAATTTCACACAAATCTTATATTATTTTTCCATGCTGCTAGGATCTTCAAAAGTACAAAATTGGGAAATCCAAGAACGTTTTATTATTTGAATCAATTAAATTGTTACGAGTTAGATGGCATTGATGATTCTAAAGAGTACATTGCTACAAGGACGGCAATGGATGTCGTTGGAATTAGTACCGAAGAACAGGTTTTTGTTTGGAGTTGGTTAATATAAGAAACATGATTCTTCCACTTTAAAATCTATCCTTTAATTCCTTGTTGATTTTCTTCCTTCCTTGATCGGGATGTGATTTTTGGAGTTGTGGCTGTAATTCTCCATCACGGAAATATTAAATTTGCGAAGGAAAAGACAATTGACTCGTCTGTATCCAAAACGAATTATATCCCTAACAATTAAAGCAAGAATAGCACAGATCAGTATCCTAAGTGATAGTATAGGACAGTTCGAGGGATTATACCCCTAACAACTAAAGCGAGATATTTGTTCTTTTCTTTGATAGTATATCCCTTTTTGAAATTTTACCCTTGCAATTGACAAGGTCATGCCCAGTTCTTTATGTACTAAATATAATTAAGGTTGTTGCCATACTGATTAAAAGGTTGTCTTTAAATGTTCCACTTTCTAGTATTTTCCTACCCACATATATAAGTTAGAACAAAGAAAATATGCTAGTCCTATTTATATTTGCAAAGAAAATATAAATTAACACATTTTAGCCTATTTTGGAAGTAAGTTTAATAATGGGGAGAGACGTTCAATTTCCTTTTTTGAGGAAATTGAAGTGGTTCATGTTTTTTCAAACTCGGAATATGAGAAGATGCAAGATAAATGTAGTTTTCATGAATCCCACTATAATTTCTCGATGAACCGTTGTGTGATAAAAATAACATTCTTTATTCATTCATAGTAGTCATTGCCAGAATAAAAATAAATTGCGGGTCTAAAGGTTGACTTGTTTTTTTTCATTTCTCTCAACGTTCTAAGTTAATTCTCTTTGGAAATACTTTACAATTTGATACTTGAATGGTGCAAGTTGCCAATTATGATATAGAGTGTCTTTCCACGATATATAAT